CTTTTTTGTAGGCTCTTGTTGTAAACCCCTAATCATGGGATTTATGGGGACCCTACAAAAACGTAGGCTCTGGTGGGTTGAGTGAGGGAGACGCTAAGCTCTGAGCACTTACAGGACCCTTGCAGTAACCCTTGTAGAAACCTGTAAAGAGCTTTGAAACCCTGGATGGTCGTCTTGAAACCGTTTTGGGCTTTAGGGTTTGGGCTCAGGATTTAGGGTTTAGGGTTGAGGGCGCGTCGCAGATCTCCTTCTGAACCCTCCCACCTTGCTCTCATCTGCTCCTGCCAGGAGGAGCAAGCGCACCGCTCCTACTGAATCCGCTTCAGCCGCCACAATCAGCGCCGTCTTACCGTCCTCAGTCTGAACTAAAGTAGGGTTTAGGGTTTAGGGGTTTAGGGTTTATGGGGGTGAAGGGTTCCTCTACGTATTCCTTTAAGGGTTCCTATGCAGCTGCCATTGCCTGGGCTACTCTACAGGTATAGGGTTTCCCTATTGTGAGCAGGTACCTCTATAGGACCATATAGGCAACTGGTACTCTTAATGATATAAACCCTGCATCAGCTTCAGGACCCTAATCTATAAGAATTATGGTAAACTCCTTACTAAGGGTAATGCCCTAAACCCGAAACCGAACCCTAAACCCTAAACCCTAAACCCTAAACTCAGGAGTGAGATCCTCAGCCGTATGTAAGCCCGAAGCCTTCGTCCGAAACTCCTAAACTTTGCGCTCCATTGAATGCCTAAACCGGACCGGTGCGTACCTGGACCCCCCAACTACCCTCTAATGTATCCTAAATACCCACTATTAAGGGCCATAAGGGCTCTATTAAAGGGCCCTTGGGGGGTCCTGGTAGGGTTTAGGGTTTAGGCTTGTGGGGTTTAGGGCTCAGCCTCAGAGGGGTGCAAGACTGTAGGCTTTGGGCCTTAACGCTTTCGTGCTGCAGGGCCGCAGCTCGAGGGGTTTAGGGTTAGTGTTTCGGTGTTTGGGGGCAGGATATGTAAGGTTTTTAGGGCTTGGCAGAGGGGGGGGGGGGGTAACGGTTTAGGATTAGGGTGCGGTTGGGGTGTAATAAACGGTTAGAAGCCTAACTTGCTAGGCTTCTGTATGCTGATTTCCATATACATGTCCTTGACAGGTAGGTTAAGCCGGGTCCAGGCGGGGTTTAGGGTCAAGGGACGGAAATTTTCGTAAACTCGATATACACCGTAATAAACCGTATAAGCCACAATATCACAAAGACCTGCCTAGCATCGTGGTTCGCTGCATCCATGGACGCGCTCGCTGCCAAGAGCAAGCCCATCAGGTTCACTCGATTGTTCTCCGATGACAGAATTAGAGCGGTGTTCCTGGGGTTTAGGGTTTAGGGTTTAAGCACTGAGAGGCAAAAATGATCGAGCATCTACTCTGACAGAGTTCACGTTGCCCTATACCTAAAGCTCAATACCACCCTCAACTCTGTAGGACAACAAGGACCCGATGCCAAAGGCAAGAGTACCGAGGCGCCCATCAGCGTCAGTCATGTCCTCACTTGCTGAGATCAAAAGACGAGAACTGCTCAGTTCAACACGGCTTTATACATACCCTGAACCATAGATGGACGACGCCCCGGGCTGAGCGCTCTGAGCCAAAACCTGCCCCAAACGTTGAAGTCTAAACCCTTGGCCCTAAACCCTGAATCCTGAACCCTACACCCTAAACCTTAACCCCTGAACCCTGA